TAACACGGAAAGGATTTCCAATTTCATATGAAGAATGCATATATAATTTGTTAAGTGGTAATTTTAAATTAAATGTAAGTTTTGTATTAAAATTTACGTGTAAAACTTTTATATAATATTAGAGTAGACTAAGCTTATGTTAAGCCCATATGATAGGATTTAAAATTCATACTAAGCTTGGCTGTAATCCTATCATATGGGCAAGTGATAGAATTTTACATTGAAAAATAACAAGAAATTTATGTAGTTTAAATATAATAAAAATTATTTTATTTATTTTTAATTGATTTTAAATTAAATACAAGTTTTATTTTAAAACTCACATAATAAATTTTTTCAGGTGTGGCACGTGCGAAATTTTCACATAATTATCTTGTCACTGTTAGAAGGGATAACTACAACATCCATCTCATTCCTTCTTTGCAAATTAAATTATCAAGGTGCAATGAACATAGGTTAGATACATATAAAAAGATAAATAAACATGTGACTAAACAGTAAGATATATGGAGTCATTTTCAGTGAATGTACACACCAACAAATTGTTGGAAAAGATAGAGAATATATTGCGGCTGGGATAATGGGAACAGCAAAACCAGTGGCGCCCTCATGTGGGGAGACATACGGCGCAGGAAAACAAAAACCATTACGATGGAGTTCTTCAAAATTATGACCCTGGATACAGGGTTCCATCCCATCAGCACGTTTTTTATCAGACAGCTGGCTATAGGGACAGCATCGCAGCCACCAAACACTGGCCGCGTTCGATCCCGTGTCAACTTGAAACTCCCTAATGGCAAACTATTATTAATTAATTATAAAGTTAGTCTAATATGTATATTTAAAAGTATAAATTAAAAATATAATAAATATATTTTTTTATAATTAATTTATATTAAAAAGTATAAAAATTAATAAATATTTTAATATTATTGATACGTGAATAAATTTAATTAATTAATTAATTGAATCAAAATTAATATTTATATTTTTAACAAAAATTAATTATAAAAAATACATTTATTACCGCCCATTGAAAAATCCTCAACCATGTTGCTACCCCTTTTTCTTGTTGCATTTGATCTTCAAAGCAAATGCAACGTGGATTTGAGTTGTAATGTTCAAAAGTGCCAAGAAAAATGGCATTTATATTTTTCTTTGTGCCTGTACTTTCTGACTTCTGGGTAATTAGCTAAGGGGATATATCATTAATTACGTTGCCCAACTCGAGCCACCAGGACAACTAAAGAAAAGTTGCAGCCCATTTTCACAATGTTGATCCCATAATCTTTGAATAAAGAACGTAAAGCTTCCTTTATTGAAGGCGTGTCATCTAACCTCCATTACCATTCAAAATGGTCTTTCTTTTCAATTATTTTTTGGTGTGAATCTAGGACAATGAGCTTTGCTTTTGCCATAGTTGGTAGTTAAAGTTGCTGTTGATGATTAATTAAAGAAGCCAATGAAGGTAAGAAAATGTGAGGACAACTCATTAGAGTTCTTAAATTTTCAAACTCCATATTAATTGGGTCGGAGTTCACTGAAAACATTACTACATAAATCTTAATTAGCCCCTCAATTACCCATGGTTATGGTCTCTAGCTGGTTTAGTGGAGTTCTTCAGGTATATAATTCAAATAAAAATGGAAGGCAAATCCCAGAGGGTGTTTAATAAATGAAAAAAGGGGCTAAATATTGGTGTAGTTAGCAGCAGTGGTGTAAGAAATTATAGTATTGTTAATATATATATTTTTTTTTGAAAATTAGTATTGTTAATACTTAATAAATGTTTTTGAGTTCGATTATCCTTTATATTTTTAATAAAAGTTTGATTGGATGTTAAATATATATATATATATATATAAACATCTAATTTACAAATTCTACGAAACTATTACAAGACTAAACTAAACTTACAACAACAACAAGATTTGAATATCAAACTTTAAGATTTTAAAACTTTTGCCTTATCATATTGCCATGGATTTCATTTGCAAGTTTCTTCTCTACCTTATTGACACATGTTTGATTATTCAAGAATATAATTTCTCATAAATCACCTAGTTGTGTCATGAGGCCAATGACCATGAAGTAAAATCACCTGTACAATATATATATATATACACACACTGATAATATATATACCATCAAAAAATATATACAATTAAAACATTGGACCATTAAATTCATTAAAATATTAAAAACGATTTTCCTTTACTAGCTATTAAATTAAACTAAATATATACTGATAATATGTTAAATGTGGTTTAAGATTGTTGTTGCTAAGAAAAATCCCTGAGTTTACCATGTCAGCATAAATCCGGATAAAGGATGGGCCTGAGATAAGCTAAAGCCCATATCTTTTTAATATTTTGGAGCAGACCTCAGAGACTCAGACTTCAGACTTCGGAGAAAGATCAGCAGGAAAGTGGGCACCGAGTCCAATGGGCTTTCTAATTTTGGGCTAGACAACAACATACATTGCAGCTAAAATGCATATGTATATATATATGGAAAAAATACATATTACTCCTAACTTATAAATTAGAATCATACCCTTATACATATTAGAATCTTTTTATTTAATTAAAATTTAATTTAAAATTTAAAAATCTATCTTATTAATGTTAACATTTAAATTTAAAAACTAATTACGTTAAAATATATAATTAGTTTCCAAACTTAAATATCAATATTTAATAAAATAAAATTTTAAATTTTTAATTATGATTTTAATTTATAAATATAAGTTAAAATTTAAATTTTTTAAAATAAAAGTTAAGACTAATCGGTACTAATATATATATTCGGAATAGTATCTATCCACCTTATTTTGTAAAGATTATGAGAAAAATCATTTCAAAATTATGTTGTTTCAAAAAATTCTCATTGAAAAAGACTAAAATATCCTATTTTTAAAGCATGAATTAGAGTGTTTTTAGTTGTTTCCTATAATATTTTATTAAAAGTATGTAGTTTTAAAATAATTTTTTTTTAATTTTTAAAAAATAATGCGGATAAACATTAATCTCATATATATTTTCACTACTTCAATTTCCAAATAAATTCTTGAGGCCGGCTGACTGTTTGAGGCCCAGAACCCTGGCCTTCTCTTTCTTGTACCAGCTGTGGTTTTCTTTTTCTTTTTCTTTTTTTCTAATTTTTATTTTTTAATGTTCAAGACTTCAAGTGGCCTTTTGTTAAAGGCTTCCCCAAAAATGCCTTCTAGACAGTCGAAACTAAACACAACCTTAATGTAATTTGACATGTAAGACGTGTCTTCCCCTTTCGCCTGCATAACGTTACTCCTTCATGGTTGAGAAGCTAATATAACGATTATAGTATTTCTTGTACTCTTAATAATAATTGTTTGTCTTTCAAAAGAGAAAAAAAAGGAAAGAAAAAGAAAGTAGCATCACTCTTTTACTGTTCACTCTCTCTTGGGTCTCTTCCCTTATTAATTATTCCATTTATTTCAAAATATAAGTTGTTACACTTTTTTACATGTATTTTTAGAACATGCCTTTTTATAGTATATATATGAATGATAATTTAATTTTTTTTAATCAAATTAAACTACCTAATAAGAACTACTTATAAGGAAAAAAATCTTAATTATCACTCGTATACTATAAAAAAAAAAGGTAAGAATCCACTTATATATAAATTTTACATATCACATTTATATAAAATCTTGATTATTTATCTTTTTACTTTTAATAATTGAAATTTATTCATCTTTTATTATATTTATTAAAAA